CAACATCATCAGCAGCAGCATCCGCATCAGCATCAGCAGCATCATCATCAGCATCAGAATCAGCATCAGAATCAGCATCAGCAGCAGCAACATCATCATCAACAGCAGCACCATCATCATCAGCATCAGCGTCAGCATCATCAGCAGCAGCATCATCAGCACCAGCATCAGCATCATCGTCAGCATGAGCATCAGCAGCATCATCATCAGCAGCATCAGCATCAGCATCATCAGCAGCATCATCAGCCACAGCATCATCACCAGCAGCATCAGCATCATGATCAGCATCATCAGCAACAGCATCGTAATCAGCATAATCATGATTCGCATCATCAGCATCGGCCTCATCGTCATATTCAGCAACATCATCATCAGTATCATAATCATCAACCTCACCATTATCAGCATCGGCATCCTCGTCAGCAGCATCGTCGTCAGCATCAGCATCATCAGCATCAGCATCAGCATCGTCATCATCATCAGCAGCAGCATTATCATCAGCAGCAGCGGCATCAGCAGCAGCGGCATCAGCAGCATCATCATCAACACCAGCATCATCAGCAGCATCAGCATCATCATCAGCATCATCCTCATCAGCATCATCAGCAGCAGTCTAATCATCATCATTATGGTCATCACCATCATGATCATTATCAGCATCAGAATTAGCATCAGCCTCACCATCAGCATCATCAGAATGATCACCATCATCCGTATCGTCATCAGCATCATCATCATCGTCACCGTCAGCATCAGCATCATCAGCATCAGCAGCATCATCCGCATCATCACCAGTCGTAACAGCATCATAATCATCCTCTGCATCATCATCAGCATCAGCATCATTCTAATCAGCATCATCATCATCATCACCACCATCAGCATCAGCAGCATCATCATCATCAGCATCAGCATCCTCGTCCTCATCCACATCCTCAGCCTCCTCCTCCTCCGCCTCCGCCTCAGCCTCCTCATCCTCATCCCCCTCCCACTCCGCCTCCTTCTTCTCCTCCTCTTTCTCCTGATCCGCATCTTCCTCCACCGCCTCCGCCTCCGCCTCCGCCTACGCCTCCTCCACCGCCTCCACCTCCGCCTCCGCCTCCGCATCCGCCCCGCCTCCGCATCCGTCTCCGCCTCCGCCTCCTCCTCCTCGTCCTCCTCATCCTCCTCCTCGTCCTCCTCCTCCTCCTCCTCCTCTTCCGCCGCCTCCTCCTCCGACTCCGCCTCGTCCTCCTCCGCCTCTTCCTCCTTCTCCTCCTCCTCCCCATCCTGATCAGCATCAGCATCAGCGTCAGCAGCAGCCGCATCATCATCATCAGCATCATCATCAGCATCATCATCATCATCATCATCATCATCATCATCAGCATCATCAGCATCATCAGCATCATCATCATCATCATCATCATCATCATCATCATCATCATCATCATCATCATTAGCATCAGCATCATCAGCATCATCAGCATCATCATCAGCAGCATCAGCATCATCAACATCATCAGCATCATATAGTTCGCCTCCTCCTCCTACGGGTTTCCCTCCTCCGCCTCCTTCCCCTCCTCCTCCTCATCAACCGTCTCCTCCTCATCATCATCATCCGCATACTCGTCCTTATTCTCCTCCTGCTCCTCCTCCTCCTCCTCCCACCCACCACCACCACCACCATCATCAGCATCATCACCACCATCATCATCAGCATCATCAGCAACATCATCATCATCGTCTGCATCATCATAAGCAGCATCAGCAGCAGCAGCAGCATCAGCATCATCATCATCATCATCATCATCATCATCATCATCATCATCATCATCATCATCGTCGTCATCATCATCACCATCACCATCAGCATCATCATCATCATCATCATCATCATCATCATCATCATCATCGTCATCATCATCATCATCATCATCATCATCATCATCATCATCATCATCGTCATCAGCAACACCATCATCATCATCAGCAGCAGCAGCGGCATCATCATCAGAATCAGCATCAGCATCAGCATCATCATCAGCATCAGCATCAGCATCATCATCAGCAGAAGCAGCATCGTCGTCGTCGTCGTCATCATCGTCATCATCGTCATCATCCTCACCATCACCATCATCACCATCAGCAGCATCATCAGAATCATCAGTATTAGCATCATCATCATCATCAGCGACAGCATCAGCATCAGCATCATCATCATCATCAGCATCATCATCCTCATCCTCATCATCGGCATCAGCATCATCACTAACATCAAAATAATCAGTATCAGCATCATCAGCATCATCAGCATCATCAGCATCATCAGCATCATCAGCATCAGCAGCATCAGCATCAGCAGCATCATATAGTGTTCATGATCTGCAGCATCAGCATCATCATCATCATCATCAACAGCAGCATCATCCTCATCCTCATCATCAGTATCATCATCAGCAGCGTCAGCAGCATCAGCGTCAGCATCATCATCATCAACAGCATCAGCATCATCAACAGCATCAGCATCATTATTATCATCAGCAGCAGCATCATCATCATCACCATCATCAACATCATCATCACCACCACCACCACCACCACTACCATCATCATCATCATCATCATCATCATCATCATCATCATCATCATCATCATCATCATCATTGTCACCATCATCAGCATCATCATCAGCATCATCATCACCATCACGCTCATCATCCGCATCCTCCTACGGTTCCTCCTCCACCTCCCCATCCTCCTCCTCCTCCTCCTCCTCCTCCTCCTCCTCATGATATTCCTCCTCCGCCCCCTCCTCCTCCTCTCCTCCTTTCCTCCTCCTCCTCCTCCTCCTCCTCCTCCCCATCCTCTTCTTTCTTTCTCATAGTCTTCCTCCTCCGCCCTCCTCCTCCTCCTCCTCCTCCTCCTCCTCATCTTCCTCCTCATAGTCTTATTCATCTCCTCCTCCTCCTCATTCTCCTTTCTAAAAAGAATAGACTCTACCCCCCCCCCCGGACTTAACGCTTCCCCCTGGGATAGTATAGTTTCATATATATATATATATATATATATATATATATATTCTGCACACTCGTCCATCCTAAATATGAAATCATACCATCCCAGGCAGGTCGGCTCCCCCCCTCTGAGGGTCCCTTGTAAAAAAACACTATGCGGTGACATTGTTCGTTCTAACATAACACTTGTTCACGAATCCCGTGCAAAAAATGAAACGAAGTGCACACGCGCGCGTCGTCGCGCGCGCATGCCGAAATCCTTCAAAAACCTTCGGTGTTGGAAGGATTTCGCAATCGAGTTCCCAAACAACATACAAAAACACATGGTTTCGCAACACTGAGTTGCTAAAAAAGCTTCCGCGCGAGCTCTTGCGAAATCTTCCGAAAACATAGGTTTTTCAAGATGTTCGCAAAATGCTACCAAACGGGCTTCGCGCGCGCGCATGTCGAAATCTGTCGAACGCCCTTGCGCGTGTGCCGTCGCGAGAATCCTCTGTAAAAAAATGGGACGAAGTGCAGACGCGCGCGTGGTCGCGCGCGTACGCCGAAATCCTTCAAAACCCATCGGTTTCGGAAGGATTTCGAAATCGCACGTCCAAAGAACCCAGAAAACCCCAAGGTTTCGCAACACGGATTTTCAACAAAAGCGTGCGCGCGCGCTCTTGCGTCGTCGTCGTCGTCGTCGTCGCCGTCCTCCCTCCTCCCGCGTCGTTGTCGTCGTCGTCGCCTACGTCGTCCTCTGTCTTTCCTCGTGTTCGTCGTCGTCGTCCTCTTTGGCGTCGTGGTCGTTTCCGTCGTCGTTGTCGCCGTGGTCGTCCTTCCTCCTCCTCCCTCGTCGTCGTCGTCGTCCGTCGTCGGCGTCTCGTCGTCGTCCCTCCTATTTCGTCGCCGTCGTCGTCGTCGTCGTTCCGTTGTCGCCGTCGTCGTCTTCCCTCCTCCCTCGTCGTTGCCGTCGTCGGCGTCGCCGTCCTTCCTCCTTCTTCGTCGTTCGCGTCGTCGCCGTCCTCCCTCCTCCCTCGTCGTTGTCGTCGTTGTCGCCGTTGTCGCCGTCGTCGTCCTCCCTCCTCCCTCGTCGTCGTCTTCGTTGGCGACATCGTCGTCGTCTTCGTCGTCGTCGGCGTCGGCGTCGTTGTCGTCTTCGTCGTCGTTGTCGGCGTCGTCGTCGTCGCCGCCGCCGTCGTCGTCGTCGTCGTCGTCGGTGTCGTTGACGTCGTCGTCGTAGTCGTCGGCGTCGTCGTCGTCGTCGTCGACGGCGTCGTCATCGTCGTCGTCGTTGTCATCGTCGTCGTCGTCGGCGTCGGCGTCGTCGTCGTCGTCGGTGTCGTCGTCGTCGTCGTCGGTGTCGTCGTCGTCGTCGTCGTCGTTGTCGGCGTCGTCGTCGTTGGAGACGTCGTCGGTGTCGTCGTAGTCGTTGTCGGCGGCGTCGTCGTCGTCGTTGTCGCTGTCGTCGTCGGCGTCGCTGTCGTTGGCAAGTGCGATTTGGTACCCACCGTCACAGTCTTAAGAGATTTTGCGAACCAAGTTGTGGGTGGGTGGGTGGGATGTTTGCGCGAGCAGTGGAGTGGTCAAGCGCGGTGCAGGGTAGTCATCTTCCTCCTCATAGTCTTATTGCTCCTCCTCCTCCTCCTCCTCCTCCTCCTCCTCCTCCTCCTCCTCCTCCTCCTCATCCCTGTCATCCCCTCTGTTCCTGCTCTCGGGGCGGACGAAGGAGGGGATAGCGAATCCTCTCACGCTGGGCGGCGCACAGGGGGGTAGGAGGACGGGGAAGGCTTCCTAGAAGCAGGGGTGCTTCTGTGAAGCCTTCCCCCCTCCCCCGACCCTCCTCTGCGCGTGGCCGACACGCAGCTGCTTCTTCTGGCGCAGCTGGCTTTTCTGGCCCCTTCTCTGCGCACGAGGCGCCAGCGCATCGAGGAGAGCACCCGACGGCGGAGCCGAAACCAGCTGCATGCAGCAGATGTCGTACCCTCCCCCCCCCCCCGTCCTGATCCCCCACTCCCCCGGCCCCGCCCCCCTTCCCTCCCGAAGCGCTCGCAGTGAGCAAAACAGCGCGCTCGCGCCCGCGGCGGGGTCAGAGCTCCGACCTGGTGGGCGGGATGCTGTCGGGAGCCCCTGGGCCTTGGGAGGGGCTCGAAGCATACACCAAGCCGTCTGGTCGGCCAATGAGCTCGGCGTGAAGACGGCGCAGCTTCCTGACCTGTGGGACGTCGGAGCGCCTGTACGCCGCTCTCCTTCGCCGAACTCCTTGGCTCCTGGGCCGACCAGACGACGCGATATGGCCGCGTCCATGTTGTAGCGTTGTCAGCTTGCGGCGGTCACGGGCCCGTGCTGGCGGGCATGATGTGGGACCCCTCTTGGGATCCCTCGGGGAGGGCCCTCGCGAACCCAGCGGGGTCGGTGTGGCCCCGTGTTGGCCCCGTGACCCCACGGAACTGTGTGACCCCCCGTTGGCCATGGCCGGAGGAGGAGGAGGAGGAGGAAGAGGAGGAGGAAGGATGAGGAGGAGGAGTCAGGAGGAGGGAGGAGGAGGAGGAGGAGGAGGAGTCGGAGGAGGAGGAGGGAGGAGAGTCAGAGGAGAGGAGGAGGAGTGAGGAGGAGGGGGGAGGAGGGGGAGGAGGAGGAGGGGAGGAGGAAGAGGAGGAGTCAGGAGGAGGAGGAGGAGGAGGAGGAGGCGGAGGGGAGGAGGAGGCGGAGGAGGATGGCCGCAGCTCGGCGACGCGGCGCGCACAGCGTGGATGGCGGCACGCACACACGTCGAGCCCCCCTCGCAGGGCCTGCCGGCCGGGCGGCGGCGCCCGCAGCGGCCGAGGAGCCGAGGAGGAACTCGGCCGCGTGCCCGGCGGCCTCCAGGGCGGCGAGGAGCCCGGACTGGGACATCTCCTGCTCGGCAGCGGAAGGGCCCCCGACCCGGGGGGGAGGGGGGGCCGTTCTCGAGCTGGGAGGAGAGGGGTTCGGAGGAGAGGGTACCCTTTACCTCTATACCCCTCCCTCGCTCTCCCATGTGGGGGGGCCTCCTGGGAGGATCTCGTCGCCACCGCCGGATTCGCCTCGGAACTCTGGCCAGAACGCGCGCCAGGAGAGGCATAGGGAGCAGCGGTATCGGTACCTTTTGGTTTCCCCAGGGGTTGGGAAGATACGGAGCACGACTGGGTGGTAAGCACACTTCACACGCGCGAGGATACGATTCGTCTGGTCCTTTTCTTCCACCCCGATCCCCCCGCCAACCCGAGGATTGTCTTTCTGACTGACCCGTTGGGAGCGGACCCAGGTCAAGAGGCCCAAGACATCCGGTATCGGGGGCTCTCGTCGGCAGGCGTCTCAAGCCAAGCCGCCCACACTGAGCACCTCTGCTGCAGAGACGGGGGCCTCAGACAGGCGACGCCTTCCTTGTGCGATTAGGGTTCGGGGATTTCTTATTCTCGGAGATCTCCCCCGCGATCAGGCCGGAGTCCCACAGCGCCACTGCTCGGCCCACGCCCCTGGCGTCGTCGGAGTCGCCCTGCACTCCGGATCCGATCTCGACGAACCTGCGGGAGAAGGATCTGGCGGGGGGGGGGCGGCTCCGCCCAGGGGGGGAGGGGGACATCGACCTGAAGCTGGCGATGCATCGCCGACAGATCGGCGATGGGCCCCCGAGGGCGGGCCCCGACGTTACTGGCTGGGGCGGGCCATCCAGCACGCCTCGGCGATGATTGGGCGATGGGGGGGGATGCAGCCCCCCCCTGGAGCGCCCCCCGCGCCCCCCGGGACCCTCACGTTGCCCCGGAGAGCCGCAGCGAGCCCCACGTGGACTCCTCCTCGGCGCCGCCCAGCGAGCTGCAGACCCTGCCCTCCGGCTCGCTGCAGTTCGCCCACGCCACCTGCACCCCGGCCCGGAGCAGGCGGACGGCGGCCCGGCCCAGCATGGGCAGCGCCGCCTTGCAGAGGTCGCAGTCCGCCCGCTTCTTCTTGTCCTTCGGCTCCTTCCGCAGCAGCACCAGCCACGGCTGCCGCGGGCCGCCCGACAGCGCCGTGACGTTGTCCCAGAGCAGCTCCGGCACCACGACGGGCGTCCGCGAGGACTCCCGCGCGAAGGCGGCGAGCTCGCGGCCCAGGGGCCGGCCGTGGTACACCTCGAAGCGCCCCTGGCTCGGGAAGAGCACGCGGACCTGCGGGAAGCGCTTGGTGATCGCCGGGTCCGCGCCCTTCTTCTTGCAGAAGTCGGGGAAGCGCCCGCAGTTCACCTCGGCCGCAAGCAAGAGTGACCCTAGGCAAGGGTGACCGTTGGTGCGCGGCTTGTGGAAATCTGCATGCGGTGCGACAGTATGAGGGCGACGACAAATCGCAGAAACACACAATTTCTTGAAGGTCCGTGCAGACCTGTGAGAAACGATGCTCATGCCTTTGGCTTGTTCTGAAAATCAATCTGCGTGCTTAAACTTGCCCCGCCCCCCCGCCCCCAGCCCCCGCGCCCCCAGAAGCCGCGCACAAGAGGTCACTCCGACAAACTGCCCCTCTTGCACGCGCGGCCGGTCGCCGCGCCGAACAGCCGCGGCTTCTGCCTTCTGCCCGGCTCGGCCGCGGCGGCCTGCTCCGGGGCGACCCTGTGGGGACACGATCAGAGGAGACTGACTCAGGGAGCGAACTTTTGTGACAGCCGAAGAGCCGAGGGCCACATTTCAAAACTGGCCCTGCCTTCGAGGATCTCGGGAGTTGCCATGCCTTCCTCGGCGGTCGGCGGAAGTAAAACGAGGCCACCTTCGCCGGCGGAAGCCGGCGGAAGGCGGCGGAAGTAAAAAAATGCGTCCCCAAGAACTGAAAATATGTTTGTGTTCAGGGCTTCCGAAATCGGCCACGTGTCTCTGATACGTTTCCTGTAGGGACACCAGCAAACGGGATTTCTGAGACCGCGGCGTTGCATCTGAGACCTCGAGAAGCGCGAGCGAAAGCGTCGCGCTGCGACCTTGTGGGCGAAGCCGAACGGGACTTGAGAAATCGGCATCACCGGTCTCAAGTCTTTCCCTGGGGTCCCTTTTGAAACCACATGAGTCTCGTCTCAGCGCAATGCCAAGGCTTCAGCGTAGGTGGGCAGCCAACGGCCAGAGGCAACAACAACAAGACAAAACGTCCATCCCGGGACGCATCACGCCGAAGCGCAAGAGCTGGACTGCAGATTCACGCGCCCATGCGTCGACACAACAACATTACGATTACAGCAAAACTGCGCCAGGTGGAGCCGGCTCATGGGGGGGGGGCTTGACTTGGATCAGGGGCGGTTCAGGGTTCTTCGGCGATGCATCTCCGATAGATCGGCGACGGGCCCTCGATGGCGAGTGCGGACGTTACTGGGCGGGGTGGGCTATCAGGCCCCCTATCGGCGATGAGTGGGCGTTTGGGGGTCGATACATTACCCCTCTGAGCCTACCTCCGCCCTAACATTGCCCCTGAGGTCCAGGTGTCGCGGCCCAGCACGAAGGACGCCGTGTCCTGGCCGCGGCGACGTGAGACTCGAGCTTGGATGACCCGGACTTGCCCCCACAAAAACGAGAGACTATCAAAGTTCACGACAGAACCGACGCAGAGTGGCGGCGGGCCCCAGCTCTGGCAGACTCGAGTCCCACGCTTCCCCGGTCCTGGTCGGGAGCGTCACTGGCCGCGATGCCGCCGCGGAACGACAGCAGGTCCGGGTCGAAGCTTCCCGAGAGGATGCGGTGGTCGCCGACGATTCGCGTCGTGCCCCCCTCGCTGGCGATGCGCACGTCCACCGCGTCGTTGACGACCCAGAGCCTCGCGGCGCCCGCCTCCCCGACCACGAGGGTCAGGCGCGCGTCGCCCTCCTTCGGGGGGCGCCCACGAGGAGGGCGCCCAAGAGGGGGGGTTATATAAACAGCAAATCTCGTGGCCCGAGGCACGTGCGCGGCCAAGGGGGGAGGGAGACGTTCTGAAATAAGAAAGGGGGGAGGGAGACGTTCTGAAGGGGAGGGCGCCCAAGAGGGGGGCTACATAAGCAGCAAATCGCGGCCCAGGGGTGAGGGAGACGCTCTGAAATTCGAAGAGGGGGGCATGAAGTCCGGGAAGCCATCGTGGCGGCCCCCCAGCGGGCACGAGGACGAGCGAGGACGGAGAGGGGAGCGAGCACGCGACGCAGAGGGGTCAGCGGGAGGCAGAGCAGAGCGAGAACTGGAGAGGAGGAAGAGGACCGGAAGAATCGAGGAGGGAGGAGGCCACAGAGCCGCGAAGATCACCGAATCCGGAGCCCCCCGGATCGGCAGCACTGGCCGGAGGCCATTACAATCGACAATAAGAAGAGGGGGGCATGAAATCCGGGAAGCCATCGTGGCAGGAGAGCCACCGCTCCTCTTGGCCGCCCCCCCCCCCGAGCTCCTGGGACTGGCCGCCGACGTTCCGAAGGCCGCTGCTCCGCTCCCGCAGCGAGCCCCGGAACACGTCCCCGGGCCGGAAGCTCGTGTCCAGGGGCTTCTTCGGGCTCGCCGGAAGTCCGCGCTCCTCCTCGCCGTCCCCGAGCGCCTCTGGGGAGCCGAAGAGGAGAGACCCTCCTCCTCCTCCTCCTCCTCCTCCTCCTCCTCCTCCTCCTCCTCCTCCTCCTCCTCCTCCTCCTCCTCCTCCTCTTCCTACTCCTCCTCCTCCTCCTCCTCCTCCTCCTCCTCCTCCTCCTCCTCCTCCTCCTCCTCCTCCTCCTCCTCCTGCCTCCTCCTCCTCCTCCTCCTCCTGCTCCTCCTCCTCCTCCTCCTCCTCCTCCTCCTCCTCCTCCCTCCGCCTCCTCCTCCTCCGCCTCCTCCTCCTCCGCCTCCTCCTCCTCCTCCTCCGCCTCCTCCTCCTGCATCCCCTTTCCTCGTGAGCTTATGAAGCTTGAAACTTGCAACGGCTTCACGGACGGAGGGTGGGTCGTTTTCAAAGTGTGGCTCTCTTAGCGCCACGCACATCAGTTTTAAAGTGTACAGCAGCTTCGCGGATGGAGGGAGGGACGTTTAATGCGGTTCTCGTTTTAGCACCGCGCACATTCGTCTTCAAAGTGCAAGCATCTTGAGGATGGAGGACAGGTGGTGTTCAAAACGTGTCTCTCACCTAAGCGCCCCGCACATTCGTCTTGTCTGCATCAGTTTCGAGGATTGAGAGCGGCTGTGTTTCAAAATGTGGTGTTCGCCTCAGCACCGCGCACTTACAACTTTACCATCTTTGCAAGGATTCGTGTGGTTGAACGTCCAGGAATAGTGCTGTAGCAAGATTGAGAACTGTCAGGACGCAACCGCCACGTTGATTCGCGGCGTTGAAGCCTTAAGAACGGCGTTCTGGAACGATGTTGATCGCAAGGTCGCAACAGTCACAAGGATTTAGGCGTGTTGAAGTCCCAAGAATGGTGCTCTGGGATGACTGAAAAATCTCAGCTGGTTGTCTTCCAATAGGGCACCTCCCGCAATGAAAACAACTTCTTGAAGGGATCTCTGAAGAGGAAGCTTGGAGGGAGGGTGCATTGCAACATCGTCGATGCGGTTGGGATTTACACTGGTCCTCCTCCTCCTCCTCCTCCTCTTCCTCCTCCTCCCCCTCCTCCTCCTCGTCCTCCTCCTCCGCCTCCTCCTCCTCCCCCTCCCTCTCCCCCTCCCCTATCCCCCTCTCCCCTCCCCCTCTTCCTCTTACTCCTCCTCTTCTCCTCTTCCTTATCCTCTCCCCTCGCTCCTCTTCTTCAGATTCTTCTTTTTATCAGAATTACTATTCTTACTATTATTCCCCTTCCTCCTTCTCCTCCTCCTCCTCCCTCCTCATCCTCCTCATCCTCCTCCTCCTCCTCCTCCTCCTCCTCCTCCTCCTCCCTCCTCCCCTCCCGCTCCCCTCCCCCTCCCCCTCCCCCTCCCGCTCCCCTCCCGCTTCCCTTCCCCCTCCTCCTCCTCGTCCTCCTCCTCTTCCTCCTCCACCTCCTCCTGGTCCGCCTCCTCCTCATCTTGTTATTAGTATTATTAGTATTAGTAGTTATTATGATTAGTCTTCGTCTTCTTCCTCTTCTTCTTCCTTCTC